AAAAAAGATGGTTTTTTTAAGACCCTGATGACAGCAGTGTGATTTCTGGGTGCATATGACTTGTTATGCTAAAATTTAAAAACGTGGCTCTTATTTTGAGCCTGCATGAACCCGATAAAACACACATTGTGTCTGGTAAGTGACTGACTGTAGCCCCTTTGTCCACAGCAGCTTTGCAGTGCTTCTGAGAGCTGCATCCAGGGCAGAACCTTTTCCACAATCTCAAATGGAATCAAAATGGAAGTACTGGGAAAGACTGGGGAGGGAGAGTCCCAGCTTAAATAGAATTATGGTAGCATTTAAGTTGGTTGTATCATGTATTGGTACTCCAATGTAAAACAACTACAGATTTTAAACACTACAGCTATTATATGATGCCAATATTTATTTCTCTTTACTTGACCTGATTTCTACCTTGTTCACAGTCAGCACTGAGAAAGGTTTGCTCAGGTCTTAGCTGGGATGTTTGGCTTTCCACAAACCCAGATTACATTTGTATCCTCCTAACATGTTTTTGACTGGACTATGTCAAATCATTAAGGAAAACCACAGAGATCCTCTAACACTGCCATGGCTGTAAAGCATTTTCCATTGGTGTGCAACTGTTACAGAAAGTGCACTTGGGCACTTTCCCAATGGTCTATTCTCTCTGCCAACAAATTTAACAACAATACCATGATCAAGCTTCAATTGAGAGAAAATCTGGGAAGGAATGTACTTCCTCCCCTGATCCAGCAAAGCCTGAAGTTTCAGACCATCAGGACACTTCACAAGATTCATCCACTCCACTGTGAGCAGCCTCCTTCCAAAGCTGCCTTTACAATTGCCTTGCTCATGTTTCAGCACTGTTGGATCCAGGTATTTCATTCTAGCACATCTTTACATAACTAGATTTATTTATGGAGCAGACCATTTCCTTTCTGGAAATGTTATACACCTTTCATCACCTGTAATGAGTACACAGCTTAATGAATTCATCAGGAACCTGATCAAAAGACCTTGAAATGAAGTGAAATCTGTTCTACAGTTTGCTGCCTGAAGAAAGTACAGAACACTCAGCTTGGAATTTATGTAACACAAAGGATGGTGCATTTGCATTTAACAGCCAATATTAAACAAGAAATTCAGCGCTTCTCTCCCTGGGCCCCATGATGTGTGCAGCCTCAGCTAGGCTTTGATCCAAAACCCTTGACCTAACTCTTCGAGGTACAAACACTGTAGCGCAGGAATTGTTTGATATGGATGCTCCCTAAACTGTTTCCCAGAGAACATTCAAATAAAACAGGCATTGTACTTCAGTAGGCAGCCCTGTCCTTCTGTAGGAAAGCTGACATTCATTTACAGAGAGGGCAGCAAAGTTGTCCAAGGATCATCAGGTGCTAAAGAGATGGCCAGGGCCTTCCTGCTGTCCAGCACATCCAGGAAGATGAGGAGACCACCGAAACCACGCAGCAATGAGTAACCAATTGTTCTCAGTGAGACTTTCTATGGTACCGTGTCTGCACACTTTATAAATCATTGACAGGTTTGTTATGCAAGTGGTCACTGGTACCTTGTAAACAGAGCTTCTCCATGCTCTGTTGATCTTTCCACTGCAATTTGTTGCAGGCCTAATAGCTGTTTAAATAATTTCTGACATGGAAAAGCACAGGCCGGATCCAAAAGTGTAAACCAGAACCCTTAGGCTTAGCTGCTAAATCCAGGCAGCTGCCACTGAGCTCAGAGCATCGGCATTAGAGTGCTTGGCATTGTCAGTGCAGCATGCTCAGAGCCTCCACAGCAAGTTTGGCTTCCAATGCTTCTCTTTAGGGGATCAGAACTGAAAAATCTGGGACACTCAAAAGGGAGGTGAAACTTCTGAGTGGAATTGCTAGACAGGCTGTTTCACCTCTTGGATTCTGTCTGCCTGCACATATGGGACAGAAATACTCCCTTCAGGAGGTCAATTTCACGTTATTTTAATTATTGTTATTGTTGCTGCTGCCATTGGTCATAATTACTAGACTTACTAGACCAGATATTTGTCACATCAGTAACATGAGTTTATGTCACCTGGTTACTTATAAAGTATGTTGGTTGCTTTTCCTTGCTTTCTATGATGTTGAGAAAGTCTAAATATACCTGGGCTGATGTACACACCAAATGCTGTGTACACTGGCAGCCCCTGAAAACAAAGTTTAGTCAGATGGCAATAGATTTCAGTAAAATACCCTAGATTTACACCAAAAGGAGTGAGACCAGACTGAATTTTTATTAAATTCACCTGTGTTTGTAATCACAGGCTTACTAGGCTACTACCAAAATTTCATCTAAAAGGCATCAGTACTAGTGGCAGAAATGGCATTCTGGCCAGAACAAATATTTTACTTTCTGTAAATAAATTTTCACCTTCCTGCCTAAGAATAATGTTGTTGAATTACAGCTGAAAAGCTCAGAAGCCCTTTAGCTTAGCCCTAAGCTACTAATGAATGTAAGGGACACTCACTGCAGCTCCAGATCCAGCAGGATCTTCCAGTGAGAGGCTAGGAACTCCACAGAAGCATGATCTAATGGAAAAAATATGATGGAGTACAACCCCCAGTAGAAAAGTTCCTTATATCTCTCTTTTTCAAGGGACATTTTTACTGGTATAACATTAGCTAATTCTGGGAAATGTCAAGTCTGCCCACAAAAGGATTAAGAAAAGGGGTTTAGAAAGATATGGATGGGAAGGTTTTAACTTTGCCGTGAAACTGATATCCCCACAGAAAATGCATACTGAAACCTCAGCCTGAACACCTTCCAGCCCTGCCAGACCTATTTTCCTGCATTTTCATTTTTCAGTGTGCAGGAAGACATTGCAGCCTGGAGGACTAAATGAGGCATCTGTGATCTCAGTGCCAGCAGCGCAATTCCAGAGGTCGCTCCAGCCACACTCAGGTCCTCACTCAGGCTCCCTCCATCCCAGAGCATCATTCCAGCTGCAGGAGGCTGTTGTGTGCATCACTACTGGTGTGGCAGGAAATTGGTCCTGGCATGGTGTACATTTCTCCTCGTTGTTATCGTTATTTTCATTCACAGAAACAATTTAATAACCGGCAAAGGAAGAAACTGCCATAAGCATTAGGATGTTTTGTCTAGGATCCTGGCTCCAAGCCTGGAATTTTTGTCATTAGGTGATATGATAACATTAGCAAATAATAATGATAATACCAATATGATAAACAATATCAGAAGATAAAAGTAACACAGTGTAAGCACTCTTTTACTATTTTGTCTTTTTCTCACTTGCATTATGGCACAGCACTGATTATCTGCTTTCCTGTATGAGTCACATCAAGTTATATCATTTATCCTTCCAGAGGGTTCAGAGGATATCATAAACCATGGAGAGCAAAGCTTGTTCTGCACCCTAATGTAATCTAAAGTGCCTGGTGCTATTACTGTCTGCCTGTTGACTGCTCTGCTTATGGGGTATTTAAAGCAAAGGGAAACAATGCCTGGCTGCAATGTTTTTCCTCCATTCATACTCCCCTCTAGACCTGATGCTTTCTCTCATTTTCTCTTGTCTATCTTTCCATTGCTCCCTTGTCCTTCCATTTCCCAGCCTCCTTCCTTTCTCCTCAGTCTCCAGGGTGAAACGAATCCTTTCTTTTTCCTAAGCCTGAGACTGAACTCACATCCACAGAACCCTCTAGAAATTTGGGCTCCTTTAGGGAGGTGGAATATTCCACAGATCTTAACCAACTGCCATAAAATCAAGTGAACCTAAGAATGCTCTGGGCATAGAGTCCAAGTGACTGTGGGGCCATGCAGCAGATCCCAACAACACACACAACCAAACCAAACAGAAACCACAGAAAATGTGCAAGAATGTATTGAAATATCAGCTACGTGCTCCTCCATCCCTCCCGTCTCCTCCCCAGATTTGTGTCACAAAAATCTTTGGTAAACATCATATAACCATCAATTGAATGTGTTCATAAATCAAGTTTTTATTCCATCTGCTTCCTGAATACAGTTAATAAATTATATATGCTTATGTCAAATGATTTGGAAACGTTAATAATTTAAAAGCTTCCAGTTTCCTCTTTTTTTCTGTAAAAGTTTTGTGTTGCTAAGGCAGAAGATAGAACAGATTTCGGTGTATCATCCTGGTCTAACAGGATGAATTTGTTCTAAGGAAGCCAGGCTAGAAAAAGAACTTTTTCACAACTACACATACAGTGTCTGTGCATTACATTTCCAGCTTGCACCACATGGGGGGTTTTTATTTCTATTTGCACAAAATTTGCGTATGCAAACTGCCACTGCATGTCTTAGGCACACAATTCTTTGCACACTTTTCTCTGAAAAAAATTGCATTTTGCAAGTGTTGCAAAATTATCAAATATCATTCCATTGTACATCAAAATGGGTGAAAACCTTTTTCCAGTGTTGGCTAAATTTACATTGTTCAGTTCTGGTATACAATAGGACAAAAGGAATAAAAATAATCCAATAATAATTTTGTTTAACAAGACTCTACTATGATCAGTTGATACCAAAAAACAGGTGTTTAAATATTTTTTAAATTAAGTCAGTGTTAATTCATTGTTGTGTTGTCTGATCCATGAAATTCAATTTGAAATTCAGTGTCTGCCCATGTTGTATTTTAGAAACACTTTCCCACAATTTCTGAATGATGAAAAATGCAGCCACATAAAAAAATGCTCTTCTCTAGCACTTCATGCTGCAGGTTATGACATGATCTTTACTTCCACTATTCACTCTTTATTCTGTAAATAATAGATAATTATACATTATGTAAAATTATAATTATTGTTAATTTCATCATTTTTAAAGACCTACCTGCAGAGCTACATGTGAAATGCATTTGTCACTACAGAACTTCTTTTTCCAAATACCATCTTTACAATTAAAAATAAAGGAAAAAAATAATTTTTCTGTTTAAAAATCTGCAAAACCATAGAGTTTGTTCAGGGATTGTGACACACAGAAGTCTTCAGCCTGTGGGTTACCTTAGGGATGGCCCAAGCAGCTCACACCTGATTTAACTGTGGTGGCTGGGAAAAACAGGAGTGAAGTGAAGCTCATCTCATGACCAAGGGATTTTGTTGCTCGCAGCTCCCAGCTTGTGCTGTAAGAAACAAACGTTCAAGTCTGTACTTGAAACAATGCTAAAGGTGAAGGGCTCCAAACTCTGCAAGGCACTAAGAGCCAAGCATCCCTTGCAAGTTTTAATGAGAAAAATGGATTTTAATGCTTTCTAATTTTTGATGGAAAAGTTAGAAAGCAGGGCCATCATTTTTCAAGCATTTGGAGGCCTGAGTAATATTAACACGAGTGCAGAACAGAAATGTTTTTCTTTTAATCAGATTCTGAAGCAACACCAGCACCATCCCAGCATCATGGCACAGGGTAGAGTTCAGAAAACAGAAAATACCAAAATGCTGATCTGTGGTACCACCCAGTGCCTGCTGTAAGTCACAGAGCACACATTACACATTACAGACCCTGTACAGTCACACTGGAATAATGGTGGCCTGGCTTTTCTTTCCACAAGTAAAAGGTGCAATTCTACTATTTTTCTGTGAACATTTTTGAAGCAATGACCATGGCTTCCAGTCCTATCTGGAGGAACAATCTGACTTGCCTGCATTTCCACTATTTATGGTTTACATTCAGCTCTCAAATGCAGTTCCAAACTACCAAACCCACAACAGCTGTTTTCAGAAACAAGCACTTCTTATCATTCGGTATCAAGCATCAGAGCCCATTAGAGTGTGGAAGGAATGCCACAAATGAACAGGGTTTCTAGAGTCCTAGGAGATTTGTTTCAGTTTCTAATCAAACTGGTTCCCAGACTTAATTCAATCAGCCTTTATTTTTCCTACACTTGGCAGGAGAAGGACTTTTTTTTTCCAGAAGCAATTACTGTAAATATAAATGGCTAAGCACTCAAGCAGTATATTAACAATTCTAAATCCTTTTCTTCTGCTCTTGATCATAAAAACCCTTCCATGCAAGCAACAGTAATTCCCCTTTTTATAGCATAAAAAGTATAAAGAAAGACCATCTGGACTGGCATGTCTGGCTTTCTCACACAGATTCAAGGTGACCCCTTCCAATGGTTCAGATTCCCTGATCCCTTTCAAAATAACTGGAAACTTCTTCCAGCTTATCTTATTGCCAGGATCTTTTAAAGGGCATGAAATATATTAGAGATGATGGAAGAAGAGGAAGGAGTGGGAATGATATGAACTGATACAATTGCTATGATCTGTGTGCATTTCAAGCTCATTTTGAAACAAATTTGTCCAGTTAGAGGATAGTGACTTCCCATATTAAGATCAACAAGGGGGAAAAGTATGTAAGTGAGGCTGACTTTCACTGCTAAAGCAGCTTTAAATGTTAATCATGTGGTGACACAACATGCTTAAGTGTTGAAAAGTCAGGACCCTGGCATAATCAAAGTGACACTGCATGAAAAACCTACTTTCAGCAGGGAAAAGCTTTAGGTTTGTACAATGGGCTTCCCAGATAAAACAGTGCAGGCAATTGCAGTTGTACAAATGTATATATACACTCATAAAGAAGGGGATAGGAAAATAAAGAGATATAGGGTTAATTTCCAGGAGTGAAGCAGGGAAGCTGGTTTACAATTCTTGAGCTGCAAATAAACACTGAATGAGTAACTATCATCAGACCCCATACCGTCAAATATCTGTTCATTTCTGGTGGCAGACTAGCAAGTGGTTTAGTATTTTCACACTGTTTCAATCACCAGATCACTTAATCCCAATTACTTCCAAGAAACACTATAGATTACCTAAAATGTAGGAAAAAGTCCTTTTCTTGTACTTCAGGTTTGCCAGGCTAAAGGGCTGGGAGCGTCAGAAGTCCCTGGCAGAGAAAAGGAAGAAGGTTATTGAAAGGTGGATGCTTTCAGGTAGCAGCACCTCTTCAGAAGTGCACCACATAACAAACAACTATCCAGACACAGTGTGAGAAAAGTTCTTTTTACAGGAAATTCCTCAATTATCCTAGTTAAATGGTGCTGTTTTAAAATAAGGCAAGGTCTCTTCTTTATAATCCACATTAAAAGAATATTGACATCTTAATGCATAACCACACAGGCAAAGAATTATAAAGACTGTACCAGAAAGGACAGGCATGAGACGATGCCAGCTGGTGTTGAAGAGGTACCAGAAGCAGACTTCTGCATTTCTTCCCTTTCCTAAATTCATAGCACTGCCTTCACATCCTTCCGCACTGGTTTAACCAAGAATAGTCCCATGAAATTTTCATACCCAATGAAAATTTCGAATTTTAAGTGTAACTAAAAGAACGGATCAGGACCATGTCACCTCAGTAGAAAACTTACACAGATGATGTTTATTTTTATGGTTTTCATTTCAACCACTTGGTTTCATTACATTTTACAAAAAGAGCCTTTTAAGAATTTTTTGTTCATCATTTAACACCATTGTTTTTCTTTTATTACATGAAAAAAGCTGTGATGCTTACCTTATTTCATTTAATAAAGAGTCTCTTATGCTGTAGCACAAAGCATTAGGAAGTTACCTAGTTCCTAAAGAAAAGATCTTTAATGCTGACATTGTTGAACTTACTCATGTTTCCTTCTTATTTATTCAAGTCAACTTCTGTAACATTTCCTTATCCCGGATTTTCATTCTCTTTTACCAACATAAAGGCAATCCTTCACAATCTAAGATGAACATTTTATATTTGCATGGGGTTTTTTTTAAGGTTTAATTAGACACTTTAACAATGTCAAGTTGTTAGGCAACAATTCACAGTCAGGATGGATTACAAAGGAAGCTCCCAGATCACAAAGGTCCCAGAGCTTTTGAATGGTTTCTCCACATTTTTTGTCCGTGCACGCTGCTGTGTGCTTAAAGAGTGACATCACTCATCTGCATTATTGTGCTGTACATTCATCAAAGTACTGATTAGAATCTAAAAGTTCTCAAATAGCAGTAGGATTTAGTAATTTGTAATCAGATACATAAGAGTGAACAAAAGGAAGTATCAGTGCTTTCAAAGGGAGTTTGTGACCTTCTGGTGCAGGTTCTGGAATTACTTTCTCTGCTGATTTTAAATTGTACCTGAATGGCAATATTAACAAAGCTTCTGGATGTGTATTCCAGGTGAGGGAAAGTCAAGAATCTACTCTGTAATTACATTTTGATATTTTATTTATTTAGGAGTATTACTACATGAGAAGTTAGAAAGACATGAGCAGCTTAGACAGAAAGGCATGAGGTGAGAATCTCAGATTTTTAATTTGCAGTGGCTAACACTTGTAGTGGTGATGTTCTGGTTTCCCAGGGGCATGCTGCTGCATTGCTGCTGCTGCTTTTTGATCAGTTTGAGGCTGTGGAAGCTTTGCCTTGATCACAGATTCAAAATGTGCGTGTGCTGGAAACTATGTGAAAAATTTAATGACAGCTGACATTATATACCTATGGTGGGTATGAGCCCTCTCTCTCTCTCTCCGAGGCCATGGGGAAGATTTCAATCTGCATCATGATATGAAACAAGCCAAGCATTTTATTTTTATTTCCATCACAAAGAAACCCATTTCAATAGCAAATTTGTCACCCTTTAGAACAGCTCTCCTATCTGCATAAAATGCCAATAAATCACTCCATACTTGACTACTGCAGTGCACAGCACATCCCGAAGAACATTTAGGGTTTCAAGTCAAGACACCTTTGTTGATGACCTCAAGGCTCTTGCGGATCCCAGGTGGAACCCAGCTCATGACTTCCCTTCTCATTTTCAGCCTCCCAGGCAATATCTGCTGCTTCCAGTGTTTCATTAGGTTATTGCCTTGCTTACAAAATGCAGATGTGTTTAGCTGACAGGCAAGGCCCATGTCTCTCTTTTGAAGGTGTATTTCAGTGCAGATTCTAGCTCACCACCACCCACAGCAAGACAAGGATCCGCAAGAATCTCCGGACCTTCCATCCCAAGGAGAGGCCTGCAGGGACCCCACTCAGCAGCTCGGAGCTGCTTCAGACTGTTCAAAATTGTCTTCAGCTGCAACATCCTCCCAAGGGCTGCTGCAGCAGCTGGGGCTTGACAGAGTTCACAGACGGTTTAAGCCTCCCTCCTGGCCGGCCTCAGCCACGTCCCAGGCGTGCTTCCCCATGGAAGGCACAGAAAGAGGGTGCTGCAGAGGCCAGGCTCCTGAGGCTCAGGGATACTGAGGAATTCCCTGGTGCAAGGGAATGGATGCAAGCCAGGGATCTGGCTCAGCACTGCTTCTTTTGGATAGGGATTCTCCCCCTACACACATTGCTCTCATTAAAGGAAAGTTGCCATGTGTTAGATAACCCTAAACTATCAGTGAGAAGGAACAGCGGGAAGCATTTCCTTCAAATGACTGGATACTGTGAACTTTACTTAGGTTTTAAAAATTCCATGTCAAGCAGCTTCCCTCAAAATACACAGATGTCCATTTGTGCAGCTCAGGGGGTGAAAAGTTCCTGCATATTCCGGGAATACAGCTACTTGTCTGCACATCCATGGATTTTGGAAACCCTACTGGCTTCATCTATTTCCAGAGGTTGAGTTCACACTGTATTGTAACAGATCATTTCAGTAGGTCAGAGGAAACACAAACTCAGGGTCTGGAAGGAAGCTCCCTAATGGGGGCTCTCAGAATCTGCTGTTGTTTTCAGCTGCAGCCTTGTTTTTCAGAGCTCTGCCAGCACCAGCAGCTCCTGCTCACAGAAGGGTCAGCAATTTGATTTTTGGCCATTTTTACAAAGCACACGGTTCCCACTCTGCACCCATGTTCTGCCTTTGTTCGTTGTCATTAAAACTTCACTAACAACAGGCAGGGGTGTAAATGAATGGAGACTCTGCTCCCCTCTTCTGTTTCCTGAACTCCAGCCAAAATCATACATCCTGAATAAAATCATAAATCCTTCCCCATGGGGAACAGGGTGTTCCCCTTGGAAGCTGGCCTGTGGTTCCAAACCACTTCAGAAATATAGGCCAGGTTTCTAAAACCAAAACAGAGGCATGTCCGACTTTTTTGTAATACATAACTTTTGCTTCCTTTTCTCTGAAAATAATGCTTTGCATGCTTTAAAATAATATTCCCTTCTGAATCTATACACTTTAAATGTGCATAGCTGAGCTGCCAGATGCTATAAATTGTCCCAGCTGACTGGATATGAGGAATCTATTCCGCCTTATGCAGGGGGAGGATGTGCAGAATTTCAAATCCATTTTTATATGCAGCCTTACTTCTGCTAAGATGTTGTTGGAGATTTGCTGGGTTTGACCTTTATGATACATTAAAATACTTCTGTTTTTTCTCATAATTATCGTTATTAATCTTCTCCTGGATGGTATAGCCCACGGTACATTCATTTATTAGTGAAATTAAATTTCAAGAGGGAGAACACTTGGGTAAAACATCCTCAGGCTTTTGGGTATTTTAAGGGAAATCATGTGTATAAATGAGCTTTGCTTTTCTGTATATACATGAACTTTTCCCAGGAAATAGAGGCAGCTACTTCACTGAAATTCTGGTAATTATCCTCATATATAACATGAAAGTAATGATCTATCATGACCCATAAAATAAGTGAAGTCCAGTAAATAAGCAGTTCTTGCCAGAAGTCAGCATGTTTTTAAAACCTTTACTTGCTGGGTTTTGACTGATTCAATACATCAGGTTCATTAAGTCATTAAATCCCTTCTGTGCATTAAAGATCTTCTGCTGTTCCTGGCACACACTGGCACTATGTGCACATTGGGAAATTCCCATCTCCCTGTTCAGGAATATCTGTTTCCTTTTCAGCTTGCACTGCAAACTCAGCACATCGTTCTGCATTCATGCCCATCAGTGATTTGTGCCAGCCATCTCATTCAGGAACAGAATTGTTTTTAACTAGAGAAAATTTCTCCATCATATTTTACCTTCTTTTTCTTTTTTTTCCCCATAAACTGAATGTGAAGGGAAACGCTAAAGCACTTCAGAATCTATCTTATTCTAACTCAAAAATAGAAACCTAGTAGAAGCTATCTTACACAACAGGGCTTGGACTTTGTGTTTCACTATTGCACAAAAATAGATTTAGCATGATTAGGATCAGGAAATTGAAAAAGCAGTTTAAAATCACTGTGCACCAAACCCTAAAGCTCCACCAGATGCAGGAGGGTCAGACCCAAATTATTTGACCTATTTCAGGATTCATACGTGCCCTGAATGACAATGCTCCCTTCTGAGGATTTTCCAGCTTCTGCCATGGGACTCAATTAAACAAACATCAACCAACCTCTGACCCCAGCATGCCTCTTTAATGCTCACATTATTTGCCCATCCATAAGGCAGACTACTCCAAGGCCACAGTTGCCACAGTAACTTGGGTAAGGTGCCACAGAGAAAACTGCAAAACTTACGTAATGCAAGTACCAAACAATTTTTCTAACCAGCAAAAGGCTGAAAGCAACACAACCTGAAGAACACTTCCACCTGGTCTCAAAAAGAAATTGCAATTACTTGCTATGTCACAGTATCCCAAAATCACCTGCAGCCACTAAAATCTGTAGGACAACGCATTGAAATTTTAGTAGCATTGCTGGGAAACGTGGGATAGACTTAGGAAAGCTGTTTCTAGAGTAATGACCAGTGGCTGTCTGCAACAAGTTAATTCAAACAAATCTCATCTCTGATTAAGCTGTATAACAGGGTCAGTAGCATTTGAAGGACTGAGGCATAATTCTCATGACTATGACATATATCCCTTGTGCTCTGTGAAGGAAGGGAAAATGAGTTTATCCACCATTACAGAGAAATGTGATGTTTTAAAAGTATTTTACATTCACTCTTTTCCTGGCTCTCTCTACTTGCAACATCTCTG